TAATAAAATATTAGCAAATTAAATCCAACAATACACAAAAAATACATCATGATCAAATAAAATTATGCAAGTTTGGTTCAACACTCAAATATCAGCATAATTCACCATATTAACAGAATAAAGAAGAAAAACCATATTAGCATTTCAATGGATGTAGAGAAAACATTTGACAAAATCCAACACTCATTAATGGTTAAAAAAAACAAAAAACTTCTAGTAAACTAATAATAGTAGAGAATGTCCTCAAATTGATAAAGGGGATCTATGAAAAACCTACAGCTACTCTCATACTTAATGGTAGAAGACTGGATTGTTCCCATCTCCTCCCCAAGATCAGAAACAAAGTAAGGGTTTCCACTTTCCCACTTCTACTTTACATTGTTCTGGCGGTCTTAACCACAGCAATAAGGCATAAAAAAGAAATAAAAAGTATAGAGATTGGAAAAGAAGAAGTAAAACTGCCCTTGTTTGCAGATGATATGATTGTTATGTAGAAAATCCTAGGAAATCTACAACAGCTCCTAGAACCAATAAATGGATTTAGTAAGGTCACAGGTTACAAGGCTAATATAAAGAATCAATTCTATTCTTATGTACTAGCAGCAAATAGTTAGAAAATGAAATTAAAACTAAGATCCCATTCACAGGAGGACCAAAATAATTGGAAAGTACTTAGGAATAAATCCAACCAATGAATTCCAAAGCATCTACACTGAAAATTACAAAGCACTGCTAAGAGAAGCTAAAGAAATCCTAAATAAATGGAAAGATATACTATGTTCATTGATTGGAAAGCTCAAATTGTTAAGATAACGGTTTTCCCCACATTCACCTACAGAGTCATTGCAATCACAATCAAAATTCCAGCAGGCTTTTTTAACATTTAGAAAGTGACAAGCTAGTTATAAAATTTTTATGAAAATGCAAAGCACCTAGAATAATCAAAACAATTTTTAAAAGAAGAACAAAATTGGAGGACTTTACCTGATTTCAAGACTTAGTATAAATCTATGATAAACCAGACAGTTCATTATTAATGAAATGACAGACACATACATCAATGAAACATTAAAATATTACAGTACAGAAATAGACACATATATATTTGGTCAGTTGATTTTTGCCAAGGGTTCTAAGGCAATTCAGTGGGGAAAGGAAAGTCTTTTTAATAATCGGCATAGGATCAACTGGTTATCCGTGTGGAAAAAAGTAAATATTTGACTCTTTCCTCAACATATACAGAAATTAACTTGAAATAGATCACAAATCTCAATATAACATCTAAAACTATAAAACTTCTAGAAAAAAACATAGGAGAATATCTTTGTGTCCTTAGGATAGATAGGTAAAGATTTCTTATATATGACACCAAAAGCGTGATCCATAGAGAAAAAATTCATAAATTGGACTTCAAAATAAATATTTTTTATTTGTCTCCAAAAGACATTACTAAGAAAATACAAAAGCAAGTCACGGAGTGGGGGAAAATATAACACATGTATTGGACAAAGGAGTTGTATCAACAAGGTATAAAGAACTCTTACAACCCAGTAATAAGTCAAATATCCCAATGAGAAAGTGGATGAAATATTTTTAAATACTTCACCATAGTAGATACTCGAATGGCCAATAAGCACAGAAAAAGATGCTCAATGTTATTAGTCATCAGAAATGCCATCAAAATTAAAAATGCCAATTAAAACCACGAGATATCACCACACACCATTAGACTGGCTAAAATTAAAAAGAAACAAACCTGACCTTTGCGAGCTTTGGCAAGTATGTAAAACCACTGGAACTCTCAGACACTGCTAGTGGGAAAATAAAATAACACAACCACTTTGGAAAACAGCTTGACAGTTTCTTAAAAAGTTAAACATACACCTACCATATGATGCAGCTATTCTACTCATAGGTATTTACCCAAGAGAAATAAAATCGTATGACCACACAAGACCTGTACACAATTGTTTATGGCGGCTCTATTTGTAATAGCCCCAAACTGGAAACAACCCAAAGTCCAGAAACAGAAGAATGGGTAAAGCAATGGTGCTCTGTCCACGCAATGGAGTATGTCCAGGGCAGGCAGCCCCTACAGTGGCCCCCAGTGATCGCTGCCTCCTGAGGTGTAATCCTCTCCCTTGAGTGTGGCCTGGACTTCATGACTTGCTAATAAAGAGAATATGGCAGAAGATGTGGGATGTTGCTTCTGAGATTAGGTTTTGAAAAGACTGTGGCTTCTTCTCAGCTGCTCTCCCACTCTCTCGTGGTGCTCTCTCCCTGTCTCTGGTAACTCCAAGAGGAAGCACACCACCATGTTGGGAAAGGCCCTATGGAGAGGCCCATGTGGCGTGGCACTGAGGCCCTGGGTCTAAGAGCCCATATGGAACTGAGACCCTAACGCCAACAGCATGAGGCACTGAAACCTGCCAGCAACCAGGTGAGTAAGTTTGGAAGCGACTCCTTCAGCCTCTGCTAAGTCTTGAGGTGACCACATCCCGGCTGACGGCCCGACTGTAACCTCACGAGAAACCTCAGGCCACAGGCACCGCGCTCAGCTGCACCAGACTCCTGACAGAAACTGAAGGCGTAAATGTGCGCTGTTTTCAGCCTGAATCTTTAGAGTAACTTGTTATGCAGTAATAGATAACAGATGCAACTACTCAGCAATAAAAAGGCATCAACTCTTTGTACACAAAACATGGATGAATCTCTAATCATCATGCCAAGTAAAAGAAGCCAGTCAAAAAGAGAGTACATGCTATATGATTCCACTTATACAAAATTCTAGAAAACGCAATCTAGAGTGACAGAAAGCCAATCAATAGTTTCCAGGGAAGGGGTGGAGGGAGGGATTATGAAGGGCACCAAGAAACTTTGGGGGCCGATAAAGATGTTTATTTTGAGATGGTGATAGCTTGACAGATGTGTAATATGTCAAAACTGATCAAAATGCACATTTTAAATATGGGCAGTTTGGTGTACTTCAATTATACCCCAAATAAAGTTAAAACATTCTTTTAAAAAAATTGTGAAAGCACTTGCCTATTGAGACTTGCTCTGTCTTACTGCTGGGAGTCGTTCTGCCACCATTGTGAGGGAGCCAGAACTAGCCCACTGGACAGGCCACAAGGAGAAAGGGGGCTCCCAGCCAATAGCCCGCCAATCCCCAGACCATCCAGTCCCTGGTGAGCTGGCCCTAACAAGCAGAGCCACTCAGCTGACCTACAGACTCATGAGAAATAACAAATGCTTGCTGTTTTCAGCCACCAAGTTTCGGGTTGGTTTGTTACGCAGCAATAGCCAATTGATAACTGATACAGAAAGCTTCCTCCAGCAGCCAGTGCCAGGAGCATTGAAGTGACCAGCACGAGGGCAGGTGAGTGGGAAGGAGGCAGTGGCTGAATAAAGAGAGAGACGACAATGGCCTGAGCCAGAATGGGGCAGAGGGCAGGAAGGGATGTGGACAAGTGGACGGACTCAGGCAGTACTGAGGAGGGGCACCCGGGCCTGACAGCACATGTAGGGGAGGAGAGGAAGAGAGTTGCCATAAGCAATAGGGCAGATCAGATCTCTTTCACCTCCTGCCTCAGTGTCCAGGGCAGAGCTGGGCTGCTGGATCTGGGATGGGTTCCGTGTTACAGTCGGGAGCTGGAGCTCAGGGGCAAGGCTGCCCGGGCTGCTTCACCTCCCTGTGCCTCCTCACTGTCCTCCTCCTTACAATGGGGACAACGCCACCTCCCAGGGTTGTGGGGATTAAATGAGTGTATGCCTGTAAAGTGCCTGCACCACTGTGAGCAGAGCTCAGCTAACACTGGCTACTGTTACCCGAGGTTAGGAAGACTGGAAGATGAGAAAATGGAAGTGTGTTCTGGCTGGTTTGGGGAATCTACAAGAAGCGGGGAAAACGAAAGCCAATGAGAAATGAGGTCCACCCTTAAAGTCAGAAAGGTCTGTGACTATGAAGTTTGATGCAGAGAGCTGGGATCTTGCAGGAGGACCCCTGTGGGGGGCCCAGGGCTTGCTGATCTATTGGAGGGTGGGGGAGGTCTAAATATCCCAGGAGGAGGCACCACCAGACCACAACCCCCAGAGAGACCTTGTTAGACCCTCTCAGGGTTTCCAGGGCAGCTCCCAACCTCATCCACCCAGCCGAGGGCTGGAGTTTTTAAATAGTCAAGACAACTACGGAAAAACACTGTGGAAAAATCGAGAAGCTGTGTTTGCTGTCTGAGCCAGAGAGCCTCCTCTCCGCCCCAGTGCCGCTGGCTGACTGACTTATGAAGCTCTCAGCCAAAATCCACCACCCCCGCTACATCAGGTGCCAAACCACCCTCTGAACAGCTGACTACACAGAGGCACCCAACCAGACGGGCAGACAATCCACACACTTTTATTGAGCACCTTCAATGGACCAGTGCTGTAGGCTCAGAAATACAATTTTGTACACAAACCCTACGAAAATGCCGTGGTTTCAGCAGGCTCAGGTGCCTGTGGGGCTGGTGAGTGGAGGAAGCTTTGCAGGTAAGAATGAACGGCAATGACAGCGCCTTGAACAGCAGCTACCAGCAGAAAGCACTTACTAGGCGCCAGGGTCTGCGTGCACAGCCCTTACACCTGCGTTTACAGGGAACCAGCACTGCCCGGCAAGAACTCTGGGGGTGACACCTTACAGGCACTGACTTAAACTCTCCATGCCTCTTTTTCCATCATCTGTAAAATGGGGATAATAATAGTAACAATCATTTAAAAACAACCGTGAACATATGACCAGCTCTGCTCTGAGAGCTTTGCTCTACCCTCTCAGTGCGTCCTCAGGTGCGCTGTTCTCTTTACTGCCCCCATTTTAGAGATGAGAGAACGGAGGCTGCCACCAGGTAACCTGAGCCTCGGCCCTCAGATCCACTCGAGACCGGTCCCTGTGGGATGCTGGCACGGAACACCCTGCCCCAGTTATCACAACAAAAACCGCAGCTTCCCGGGGCCGCCAGGGCAAATACCTGGCCCGATGGCGCGGAGATAGCGCCGCAGAGTAAATACATGCTGGCGGGGCTGCCGGCTGCGGCCTCTGCTTCTCGGGTTCTCGACACCGGAGCCTCCGCGGGACATTCCAGCCGGTGAGGGGGGCCGGGAGGTGGGGTGGGGAGGTGCTCGAGGGTCGGGGGGCATGCCGGGGGTCGGGGTGGTGGCGGCGGTTGGAGCCGGCCCGGCCCGCCCCTCCTCCCCGCGGCATCCCCTGGGAGCCGGTGGCAGGAGAAATCTAGGTGCGCCCGGCGCCGCCCCCGGTTCTCGTGGGGGGGCCGGCAGGACTGCACGGTCCGCGGCTCCGGCTCCCGCCGCCGCCCGCCTGCTCCCGCCTGCCTGGGACTCCCGAGGGCAGGGATGGGGGTCTCCGTTCACCGCCCCCCGCCCCTTCCAGCGCCTGGTGGCGTGGGGGCCGTCGGAGGCTTGAACGAGCCTTTCCGCGGTCCCACCCTTGTCTGCCCATCTCTCCAGCTCGGTTCCCCCAGCCCGCCCCGTCCCACCGCACCCCGCCGCGCCTCTCTCGGTCTCCGGTTCAGACTGGGGGGTCTCTTCCCGGCTCCATCTCCCTCCCCGGGCCCTATCTCTGCCCCCCTTTGCCAGGGTCGCGCTCTCCCCCCGCTCTAAGGACTTCAGCCTGGCCAGAGAGGCGAACAAAGTTACCAGAGCCAGGACGGGGCGTGGGGGAGGGGTGTGGAAAATGCCCCCCAAATTGCCATTGCTCCGGCACCTGCTGCCCCCTCCCCAGCTCTCCCGCAGGGGCGCCCACAGAGCCGGAGGGGGCATGGCCAAAGTTGCCTGAACTTTCTACAGCAGCCTCCTGCTCCCCCCAGTTCTGGGGCTGAGTGTGTTGGGGTGGGGTGTCCCAGGGCAGGGCCAGGTTGCGGCCCCGCGGAAAGAGGCTCCGAGCCCAGGCCGGGCCGGCCCGCGCCTCGCCCGCCCCTGCACCCGCAGCCCCGGCGTCAGGACCCCCGGGAGCCCGGGCCGGGGGC